CCAGGGCACCGCCCTGCAGGCAGCCCACGTCCCGGCATCCCATCTGCCACACACATACATTTCTCTTGCAGCGGCTGCCAAGGCCTCTCTGAGACCTCTGCCCTTCCATTTGCGTCTGGACCAAGGACCCAGATGGACCTCTCTGCTCTGCCGCAGGGCCTTTGCACTGGCTATTTCCCTACCAGGATGCTCTCTTTCCAGGTTGTCCCAAGGCCGGCTACTTCCTGAAATGTAGGCCACAGCTCACAGGGCTCCCTTCAGAGAGGCCTGAAGTTGCCCCCATCTCAACCCATATTGTGTAGCCATATTTTACCAGTCAGGGCACAGAGCCCCTGTGTGTGGGCACAAGTAGGGACACCCTCAGCCAGGCAGGTCCTTCAGGTCCCCCATCTCTGTGTCTCTGGTGCCCACACAGGCGCCCTGCTCATGGCCCAGTCTGACCTCACAGCATAAATAAGCCTTAGAGTTGATTTTCATGGAGCAGGGTGGACGAGCAGCCCCTAAAAGCTTACGACCGGGGCCAGGCTGCATCTACACAGGTAGGTCCCGGGACGCCTGCTGCCCTGGGTGGGGCGGGGCGGGGGGATGTTTCGAGGTCCTTGCCTCAGCTGAAGGGCAGACAGGTCCCTCTGACCACTGCTGCTCACGTTAGTGCGGTCACTTGCTTTTCTTCCACGCAGGACCCCCAGCTTGTGTTCTCCCAGGTCTTGCAGTCCTTGCGGTCAGTGTCCCTGTCCAGGGCAGGTCTAGGGTGCTATCCTGAGCAACTCACGTCCAGGGTCAGTGACTCATTTGCACTGAAAACAGAATATCCAGCTTGAGGGGAACTCGGGGCGCAGGCGGGCGTTACCTCTGGAGAAGCCTGCTCTTCCTTCACACAGACAAGAGGAGAGCCTTGCGCCTCCATTACGCCAACAGCCAGACGCTACCCTAAGCACATGACGCTCATGATCTCATCCCTTCCCTTCCCACAGCCCGGACAGGTGCTAGGATCACCACCCTGTGTCGGAGAGAACACGGAGCACAGAGAGGTGGAGTCACGTGCCCCCATCTTGCTGCCGGGCAGGGGGCCAGGTAGCCCTGCTGTCCTCATCACAGTGCCCACAACTGCCGCAGCCTGTGGCCTCAGAGCTGGGAAGAAAGCCGGAGCCACAGAGGCAGAGCAGGGATGGGGGAAGTGGATCCTTGTGACCAAGTCTGAACCCCGAGTTCATCGTGCTTGAGGCAAAAGCCACCCTAAGATTCTCAGTAAGGAAAACAATAGGGGCCCTTCTGCTTAAGCTGGTTGGAGGTTTTTTTCCTCTTTCCTTTCTCTGGGTTGCAAGAGAAAAGAAACTGATTACTCTATAGTCCTTCTAGGAAAAGCCTCCTAACCGATATTTCTGCCACTCGCACGGCAGCTGCTCAGGGAGCCCGGCCCAGGCGCTGAGGCGCGTTGGCCTCCTGCCCGCTCCCAGCCGGGTCTGTAACCCTAACGCCAACTGCGGCCAGCCAAGCGCCTCTTCCCCTCTAGGCTCCAAGTGAGGCCTAGTTCCCTAGCAACCGCCCCAATTAGGCAATCACGCCATTTATCAGGATGCCAATTAATTATAATGATCTTAATGATCTACCAATTAGATAGTGCCTTGAATCCGGCTGGATGGGGGCATCTGCAGATTCGTCCCAGGGGCTGTCGCAAGGCTGTTTTGGGGTGGCAGAGCCCAGAAAGGGTGCCCTCGCAGGGGAGCCAGTGGGGGTTCGCATTGGGGCTCCCTTGCCCAGCCACACACAGTGCCAGGGCTGATGTCATGTGTCCCAGACCTTGGACCATGTTGGGACAACTCCACCACCATTAAGGGTCACACCTCTGGGAGAATGTTCAGCCTTCCAAAGGGCTAAAACCTCTCAGATGTCACATTTGCCAGCTTTCTTTGCATGATGACCATAGAGGGAGGGCAAAGGAACCCAGCAAATACAGTTTCCTCTGGGAAAAAAAATCCTAAAAGACAAACCCAAGACTCCTCAGAGGTAGGTGGTATGAGAGAGCTGAATCCTGATGGCTTTCTACATTCCTGTGCTATTTGTGTGGGCTTAGCCTGTGTTCTTCCTACATTTGGATAAAAGGCCAGGGTTGAGAGGAGCCCAGGGGCTCTACTACTGACCACTGTAAACAAGTCACAATCCCCTCTGTGCCTCAGTTTCCACAGCTTTAACATGCCAACAACCATAAGACCTGGCTCTTGGAGGTTTTGTGTGGACCCGACGGTTAGTAGGTATCATGGCTTTGAACCCTTGTGGCCCCTGGGTAATCCCTAAGTTATCTATGGGTTCTAGACTCAACTTTTTCTTTTAACTACAGACTGCTCAGAAATGCTGATACACTTAGTAGCATAGGGCTGCTGGGCAAAGTCTAAAAACAATAATGACAGGCTGGGTGATAGTCCTGCCTGGCTGGCCCAGGAGACCACAGGCCACCCCACCTGCCTACCCACTCCAGGGTAAGTAGGAACAGTCACCAAAGTGGGAAAGGGGGAGAGAAACATCATCCCAAATCCAAAACCAGACTTGAAAGACTTGAAAGGGCTGGGACCCCTCACTGGGTCCTCAGGGTGGGGTCACAGTCACAGCCACTCGTAAACACGTGCACAACCTCAGCCACCTGCAGTGAGTGGGGCCTCCTCCAATCCCAGGATGTCTGCACTCAGCTCACCCACCCTTCAACCCTTCAGCTCAAAAACTTAACATGTTATTAGGGTTTCACAAAAAGCCATAAATTCAAATAAAAAAAAACCCCAAGGAGTACACACAGAGCCCAAAGCCCAAAGCCACACCGACCCTCAGCCACGGTAGTGAAGCCAGCAACCTGCCCTTCTGCACACAAACTCGGCTGCGAACTGGGCACCTGTCCACTGCATGTATCAGTCCAGCCGGCACCACTTGCAATGCTAAATCCCACAGCTGTCCTGAATTTTCCTCTAGGAGAGGGATGAGCAACGCTGGGACGACCTCTCTTAAGGGGAAGCGGGAAGCGGTCTGCAGTGCATCACCCCATCCCCTTTGATCTTTAATGAATGGCTTGACTTAATTACACCCCTCCCCCCCTTGAGCTAGGGGAGGTGGGGTCGAAGGAAGGCAGCCCCCTCACTATTAACTGCACCATGTAACTCCGGGGAGAGACTCTCCTGTCCCTCTGGGAAAGCTGTCTCACCTGCCTGGTCACCCCCAGAAACCTCATCCCCAGAGGCTTGGCTCCAGAGCAGGCTGTGGGGGGCACCGTGGGAAAGAGGCAGGGGACAGATGGAAGGGAGGGGGGCATCCCAACACGCACAGATGAGCTCACCCTAGATTCAAACGTAAGCCGAATGTAATTACTTGGTTAATTAAATATTGACTTTTAACTCCAAAGTGATTAAAACAAGCTGCAGGAAAGGCTATTCAGAAAGGGGGTGGATGAATCACAACTTCCAAGAAGGAGGGGGCCCACAAGGAGGGTCTGTGCCGCTCTGCCTACTGTGTGCAGGCGCCTACGGTATGCAAGGGCGTGGTTGGTGCTCACGGTCCTGGAAGGTCGGGACTTGAGAACCGGGGCCACCGTGCAAAACCGGGATTTCTTACTACTCTTCCTCCCGAGACCTCTCCGTACCCAGCCACCCCTCCAATGAGCCGGCTGCTTGGGGCGCAGGAAGCCGACTCAGCTCTTCCACGTTTCCCTGGAACCCAACGCGGAGGCTGGCACGAGGGCGCTCCATAAATGCGGGTAGATCGAATGAATGAATTACTACACCGAATGTTCAAAAAAAGAGAAAAAGTTCACCCCTAGCAATCGCCGCAGCTTCACTGCCCGACTACAACCCCGAAGCCCCGGGAAGACAGCATCTCTCCGAAGGGCGAAGAATCTGCTTCTGACCTGGCCAGGAAGGAAGTTTGCCTTTCCAATCCTATTTGTCCTTTTCCCTCGCTGCGAGTTCTCACTCTGAGATCCGGTCCACCGCCTGCCCGTGTCCTGCCCGGACAAGCCCCACGTGGGCCGGCTTCTAGCTGGTCCTCCAGGTCTTAACCCAGAGGGGTCACGCAGGCCGTACCCCAGCGGCCGGCGGGCCGGGGCGCGCTCCCCCAGTTATGGGGCGCGACGGGAAGTCCTCGCCCGCTAGCCAGGCCCGCCGGCGGGGTCAAGCGGGTCACCCCCTGCGGCCAGCCGGCGCCGGCGCCTCCCGGCCCGTCCCACCTCCCCGCCCAGCTCCCCGGCCGGAGCCAGGCGGTCGGGACCGGCCGGAGCTCACCTGGGCGGCGCTCACGGCCGAGCTCAACCAGGTGAGGATCGGGCTGCAGGAGCCCCGCGCCCCACTCACCGCGCGCACCCCGGGCGGCCTCACCCGGCGCGGGGCGCTGCCGCCTCT